CGGGAGGAGGAGATGTGATGTGATCAAACCCTATAATGGAAGCTCCCCTCTCTCCTCTCACCTTTGTTCTTGATTTCACATGCACTTTATTATGAATAAATTAAAAAATTGGTGGGGTCAGTAGGCAGCAATGCGATTAAGGCACTAGACTCCCACATAGCTGACTTCAGTTAGAGTCAGACTTGAAAATACCTGTGGTACATGTGTGCAAAATCCCAGGGGTAGAATGGAGAAGAAGGGATTGTAGTGTTGCCATCCTCCCAGGGGATAAATTCTCAACTTCTCTCATTGTCTCTCTCTGTCTCTTTCTAGCAAACATACACACCCTATGGCAAAAACCTTTTTTAAAAGGTGGCTGGAAGGATTGGTGTACAAGTATCTGTTTGAGTCTCTGCTTTCACTTCTTTTAGGTATATACCCTTGTGCAATTGCAGGTCACATGGTATTCTACATTTAACTTTTTGAGGAGCTGCCAAACTATTTTCCACACTGGCTGCACTATTTCACACATTCCCGTCGGCAGTGGATTCCAATATCCTCACATCCTTGCCAACACTTGTTAGTTTCTTTTTGTTTATTTATTTATTTTTAATTACCAGAGGTTGCAGGTACTTGCCAAAAAAAGAGAGAGCAGGAGAAAGTACCCAATACATGTGGTCATGCCACAATCCCTTCTCCTCCATTCCTCCACCCTGTTGGGATTTTAGACACACAAGCATACTTGCTGGGAATGTTTTTTCAAGCTTTTGGGACTGGAATTTGAACCATGCAGAGTGCCATATAGAATCTAGCTCACTTAACCACTAGGCAATTTTAATTTACTATAGGACTAGCCCATTAGTTTCCTTTTTAAATTTTTGTTTATTGATTTATTTTAATTTGCCAGAGAGCACATATGCTTACAAGAGAGACAAGGAAAGAGAGAGGGAGAGAAGAAAAACAAGAAAGCAATCCCCATCTGTGATGGTCACACCACAAACCCTTCTCCAGTTCTCCTTCCTTTCTGGATTTTGGGCACTCACACAACACATACATGATATGTTTCTCATGCTACCAGGTCTGGGACCTGAACCACATGGTTGGCCATGTAGTACCCAGCCACTGTAACCACTAGGCTATGACCAGCCCAAGTGTCCTTTCTCTTTTCTTTTTTGTTAATACTTTTAAATTTTATTTCATTTATCGTTATTATTTTTAAATTTTCTATATGGCACATGCAGTCACGAGAGAGACCGAGAGAGAGAGAGAAAGAGAGAAAGCAAGCCACCAGGTCCAGAACTTGAACCATGGTAGGCCATGTGGGAGTCCAGAGCCTTAACTACCATGCCCCCAAGTTTCCTATCTTTAAATAATTATTCTAGTGGGCAGCAGGTAGCATCATGGTGGTTGGGGCATTGGACTCCCACATGGCCAACTGTGGTTGGAATTCTGGACCCAGCAACTTGAAACTGACACTGGGCATGTGTGTGTACATGCCGAAAATCCCAGAAGGAGAGTGGAGGAGAAGGGATTATGGCATGACCATTTCCCCTGGGGGGAGGTGATTTCTCACTTTTCCTCTCACTCTGTCTCTCTGCCCAGGAAGCACGTGTGCCCTATGGCAAAAATAAATGAATAGGTTTCCTAGAGGATGGGAAATACTATCATGTGATTTTGTTTTGGATTTTCTAATGACTAATAATATTAAGAATCTTTTCATGGGCTTATTGGCCATTGTATACCTTATTTTCAAGGTATTTGCCTATTTTTAATTATTTGTTTATTATTTTAAATTGACGAGAGAAAGAGAAGGTGAGTAAGCGAGAAAGCAAGCCAGCAAGCTGTCAGGTCAGCAAGCTAACTCAAACGTGAGAGTCCAGCACCCTTAGCCACCACGCTACCTGCTAGCCCCTATTTCTCACTTTTTAATAAAATGATCACTTCATTTTATGTATTATTATTATTTTTTTACATTTCCTATAAGGCACATATGTCTCCAAAAAGAAATCAAGAGAGCAAGGGAAAATTAAAAAGCAACCCACCAGGTTCAGGACTCGAACAACTTTTCTTTTACTACAGGGCACATATGCTCACTAGAGAAAGACAGAGAGAGGGAAACTGAGGAAGGAAGCCTCGAGGGGGGCCCACAGGTAGTGTGGTGGTTAGGGGGTACTGGACTCCTACATAGTTGACCATGATTCAATTCCTAGACCTGGCAACTTGTTTTCTCACTTTCCCTCTCTCTGCCCCTTTCCGGTAAAATTTAAATAAATAAATAAATAAATAAAGTTAAATGGAAAAAAAAAAAAAAAAACAAGAAATTCTTAAAAAAAAAAAGAAAAAAGAAAGAAAGGAAGGAAGGAAGAAAGAAAGAAAGTAAAAGGCCAGCACCAGGACTCAAACCACAGTTGACCATATGGGAGTCCAGCACCTTAACCACCATACTGCCTGCTGGCTCCTGTTTTTTATTTTTTTAAATAATTATTTTATTTTACTTTATATACATATATTTGACCAGTGA